GAGAAAAACATGAGCTGTCGTTTTCCTTGTCATTATCAATTAAAAGCATCGATTGAGATTAGGTTTTTTCCTCAACTAAATTGTATTTTTTTCTTCTTCTTCTTATCTTAGTTGTTGCCGCATAGAAGTTAACCTTATTAGAAAAGAAGACATCGACAAAAATTTAGAATTAAATTAATCGAGAAAAAAAAACAAATTGTCTTCATTAGTATGCATTCGAGGTGGACACATACCGGAACCGGATTATAGGACAAGTGTGCCATTTGTACATCAAAAAAAAAAAGAATCTATAAATGAAATATTTACATAGAATAGCACATTGATGAAGTCATCACTTTCTATATATATATATATGTATATATCAGAGAATGAAATTGAAGAATATGTCAGTAGAGATCATGTATAACCTTGGACATGAGTGTTCAATACATCCAGATGTGATATGTATTTGCTTTTATAATACTTCAATGTGTTCGATATAACTGCATACTTGCGTCATTCACTATCACATCGAAAGCAAGAAAAAAAGATGACACATTTCTTTCTCCTTAATCAAGAAGAAATTAGAGCTATGCCTTCTCTCTTTCTTTTTCCAGTATGCCTTCATCGTTGCAACGAATGATGATCAGCGATGACCATAAGTATACTGCCGGACTTATGCAACAACAACAGAAGCAACAACCGCCGCCTTCTTCTTCATCATCATCATCCGTCAATCATCTTCAGTCATCTAGTTTGACTATTTATGATAATAACCATCATCTACAATTGACACAAAAAAAATCCATTTCATCATCACGAGTAAGAGAGAAAAAAAACTACATTGATCTACTATTATAATACACATATATATACGAAGTCCTTCAGGCTAATGCACATATATGTGTGACAAATAGCCCGTGACTCTTGTTACGTAGTTATATAGATAAATATCAATTGAATATGATCCTTGAATGAATAGTATACAGAGCAATTATGAAATCATAAAAAAAACGAGTATAGAAAGAAGAAAAAAAACTATGTATGTATGAATGTATGTATGTAGATTCTTTTCTCTTGTCCATAATCAGATACAGACGTCGATTACAGCAACAATTCCTTCTTTTTTTCTTTTTTCGATGACCGATGTAACCAAATATGATAATTGGTCTCTGTTCATTCAATTTTGTCTCTATCGACTGGACACATGAGGAAACGGATGCATCAGTAAGAAGACTATGTCCGAATCGAATTGACAATGACTTTTGAGACGAATAATGTCACAAGAGAATTTTCTGTCTGATGATGTTAATGATAATTTTATATATATATACGTGTCACATTGTTTAGATTAGACTCGGTCTACGATGTTTGTGTTCATTAGATGACAAGCAACAGCAACCATTTGACCAGATCTTTTCTTGTAATGAACAGATAACAAACATTAGTGAATGTATATTTGAACAATATATATCACGTTTAACAACGAATTATATTAATACATTAATTATACTTTCTGGTCAATATCTTGAAAGTAAGAAAAACTATTTTTTCTATGATTATATATTTTCTTCGTTTATTTTCTAGTTATTCAACTACAAAATACTCTTGTTTCATTAACGCTCACTCATCTACATTCTTTTGTAAAGGATAAAACTAAAATTTTCGCACTTCGTATTAGTATTCAAGAATTTTCATGTGAAAAACCTGAAGATATTCTTACAACAAAAGGTAAATACTCCTCTTTATAAAAAAAACAAAAATAATTATGATCTATACTTTTATTTAACTAGGCAAATTCTTATTATTACCCAGTGACTATACAACGTCTTGTCCTATTCAAACAACAGAGTATATTAATAAAATTTACTTAGATCATCAATCTTATCCTATATTAATAACATTTCATCTAATAAATCGTTTATCAAATAAGACTTGTGTACAACTTCATATACTTTCAACAAATGATAATAACAACGATGATGATGAAAAAAAATCTCCTAATAATCAAGAAGAATTTTCTAATCTTCTCATGTCATTGTCATTATCTATACCGTCAAATAGACAGAAACAATCGTACCATTTATCTAAGTAAGTTTTACTTATATGCCATATTAAACTAATTACACTATTAAACATATGTCTTTCTTCTTCTTCTTCTTCGCTATAATGTTTCTAACATATGTATATCTCTACAATTGTATTTTTGTATAATAGCAAACGCAATAGTCACGAACAATCATTATTCTCTTTAACGTCAATCTTGAATGAATACGTGATTAATATTGGAGAACATTTTTTGTATATATTAACGACTATAACAAACGATAAACATTTAAAATATTGGTCGAAAATTCAACGACTATTGAAAACGAAACGAAGTCGACTAAGGGTAAGAGATTATGTTATATATTTACAGCGACATTTTTAATGTAATATTTTAGAAAAAATATAATTATCTGAATGTTACTTTTGTATAAAAAAAATTCTTATTTAATATTTTTCAGATGTCTCGTGATTCTGCTTCCATCGAAACAGTAATTAATCGTCCCAATGAAGAAATCTGGGTTGATGGTCCATTAAGTTCTTCAATTAATAAAACCGAAATATGGATTGATGGTCCACGTAAATTTTGTCCACGTTCACCAAAATTTTCTCCAAAAAAATCTACGCTAAAACATCGTTCAACACCAATGCATACAAAAGCAAAACTTTCTACAATAATTTCGCCCTATTCTCAACATGATATCGATGAAACGACATCATCAAATACATTTGATACTGAATCAATCGTTAGTTCACATTGTCATCTACCCGTTTTACCTGTATTTAAAGATCATTCATTACTTGCATTTCGTTCGAATCATACATTAACAAAACCGAAACCGATTATAACTGATCCTATAAAATTAAATTTAAAATTAAGTACAAATAAATTAAATGATGATTTAGAAATGTTAGAAAAAACACTTGAAACTTTATTAGTACCAACACCTATTGTACCAAATATAAAAACTGATAATGAAACAATTATGAGTAAATCATTAAATCGTATCGATCAATTATCATCATTAATGTCGAATGATGAAAAAAGTAAACGTTTATCAAGAATTGTTTCACCAACACGTTTTGAAAAAATTCTATTAACTAATAATCATCCGTCTACTCCTAATTCACCTTTAATAATTCCAAGAAATCGACGTTTAAGAACATCAAATAAACCTCAAGTACCTTTACGGACAACAAGTTTAGCTGAAACAACATCTCGTCCATCGATTTTTCAACGTTTATTTGGTTTACGTTCATCGAATCCTCAACAATCCATTGTTATTCAATCACCACCATCATCACCTTTAATATCACCATTAACAGTAACACTAGATTCTCATGATGATCTAATGCCATTAACAACAAGTAGTACAGCTTCATCAGCATCTGGACGTGCTAGTTCAAGTGGTTATGAATCAATGAGTAATACAATACTAGAAGAAATGCTTGCATCAATGCCAACAAATATTACAAATACAAATAATTCTATCAAAATACGAAGTAAATCAACACGAAAAGGTAGAAAATGATTTTGTAACACAACATTTATCTGTTTAAAACATAAAATTAGTATTACGTAATAAAATTATCAGCTACTGATTACCCTAAGCAATATTTAATCTGTATAGAGGATCATGATCATACAAAAAAATAATCAGATATATACTTCAGTACATTTTTACTTCGAAACAATTAGATTAAAGACTCTTAAATTATTTGAATTAGACTTTATTTATTATTTTTACCTAGAAGATCGACGACCAAATAGTAACAATTCACGGAGTAATTCAGTGGTAAGTATATAATACAATCAGGTATTTGAGGGGATTCTTATTTTCATTAATTAGATTCGTGATAAATCCATTCAACAACAACGATTATTTCAATTAAAACATCGTCAAAATGAACTGAAACTTGAATTAGCTATGATGAAAACATTTTTACTTATGGATAAAAATAAAACTTTTGATCGTACTGATAGTAAATATATCAACTAATTAAATAATAATTCATTCTTTCTTTTCTTTTTATAGCACTTCATTCAACGATTACTAATAGTCCAATGCGTACAATTATGTCAAATAATTATGATGAAGAGCATGAACTTGAAAAAGACATTGAAAATTTAGAAAGACGTCTTCTATCAGCTAAATCACAATTAATGTTTACTACTTATGAAAAAAACAAACAACTCATATCATTGAATGAATAAATAAATAAATATATAAATAAATAAAAATTTTTTTTGTTGTTCTTCTTTTTAGTATCTTTGTTTAATAAATGACAAGGAAATAAAAATATATTTAACAAACTTTGATACTATGAAGAAAAACCGGCACTACAAAATTAATCGACATTTAAGATATGTTTTGAAAGGAAAAAATCTTCATGAAAATGAATTAACAGATAATCCATCACCAATAAAACGTTTTATAAAATCCGATCTTGTACATACACAAACTATTCGTGCCAAAGCTTTAAGTTGTATGGAAGATATTAGTAATATTAATGAAAGTAGAGTTAGTAATGCAGTTAATCAAATTGATGCGGTAGAAGAAGAATTTACGAAATGGTTAGACGAGAATACGGATGAAAATCAATCGGAACTGCGAAAGCAATTCTACAAAGCGATTACAAGTTTTAGCGAACGTTTTATTATGAAATTGTACGAAAACTATCCAAATATAATTCAAACGTATCGAAAACAAGCAGAACTGGCTGATAAGCCACTACAGCATCGTACTACTATTCATCTTGCAGATCGATTAAACTTTGCAGATGGTAGTATCTGTTTAGAAAATTTATGTGTAGAAGTTAGTACTCCAAAGTCAATATTGTACGAACCGCAGAGGATCTTCAAGACATTAAAGATATATGGCGCAGCGATCCAGATGCTATAGCAAGTGTAATTCATGGGCAATTAAATAAGAACTTAGATAAAAAAAGATAGATAATTCAATACAGTTATAAAAATATCTATGTAGCATTGAATCATGTTGGAAAAGAAAATGGACAGGTAAAATATGATATAGATTTGCAAGAATGTAACGAAATACACGATTTCCTAATTGAAAAGAAGATTCTTCCAAAAAATCATAAAATCATCTTCTTGGATTCAGTACCAAAAGCAAAGAATAAAGCCGAATGTCAAGAACCACAGGATGAAATGCAAATCCTACGTTATTGGAAAGATATGGGAATATTATAAAAAAATGATATAATAAACAATGATCGACCAATACGAATAGGTGCATCAGAACCTGCATGTTCATCATGCGGCTTTACAATGGCTATTCATGAAATTGAACATTCTGTCTACGGCATGGCAAATATGTCACAAAAAAATAGTTGATTTTTTAAACAAGAACTTCATTTTCTTTTTATCAATGAATCAAATTTGTTTGTAATCAAATAGCAATAGCTAATTTTTTTAGAAAGATCAAGTAAAAGTAAAATATTTTGATCTAATCAAACATAAATTGAAACTTGAACTTGATCATATGATTTTTCTTTTTAATATTTTCATCTTCAACAATTGATCGAAGGACTGGACGAAATTAAGTGACCGACAAGACGAAGACAATCAGATTCATAATTTAATGGTTCTTGTATATGTAAATGCCACATAAAATCGACCTAAAATAAACTTGATTATAATATAATATATTTCTTATTTTTAATGAAATATTTACAGAATATGCAAATGATACAGAACTATTGATATTGTTGAGAGGATGTTTATTAGCTGTCATATATAAAAATCTTTCATAAATTCTTTTGAAATCTTTCAAAACGTCTGGAGTTATACAGAATCTTGTTTTTTTGGAGAATTGATAACCGTTAAACATATTTTCTTTCCATAAATTCAACCATTTTCCATCATGAATAATATCATTTTCAGTAAATGAAAATGGATTTTCATAATCATTTGATAGATTTGATGAAAATTCAAAATATGTTTCATTCCAATAAGAATAAATCGGTTTTTTAATATATACTGATTGATAATTATTATGTAATATAACATTCTTTCCTTTTATACTCATTGGTAAAGTACAGTATTTTTCTCCAAATGTTTGTTCATATAATTGACATGTATCTAAAAATGCTTGTTCTTTGAAAAATTGTTCAATTTCATCTTTAATAATCAATGAATGATCAATGATACGATAAAATAAACGAAGGCAATCATTGCGATATATTTCTGGTCGTAGTAAATGAGTTTGCCAAACTATTTCTATATCTAATGTTGGAATTAGAAGAATATTTGGTGCATTAGATGCTTTTAATTGCATAAATCGATAATATCTTTGTATCATCTGTTTTAATACGATTGTTTGCGAGCATTGTTCTTGAATGTGAGATGAGTTTTCCCACAATGAAATTAGTTCAGGAGTTGTTTGATCAATATCAATTAACAATTCGATTGTTCTAAAAAATCAAAGGATTTATAGAAATATAAGCAATTAATTGATATTCTTACAGTGGTATGTATGCTAAACGTCGAAAGATAAAATGTCGGGATGCGTGTGGGTGTGGGTGCGGGTGCGAGTTAAGAGTAGGTAAATACCAGAGGTGCAGAATCTTCCTCAAGCGCCCCCGCGCGGGGGGAGAAATTTTTTAAAAACTGCATTTTTTGGGGAAACTTCTGAAAATGCTGGGGAATTTTTGAAAATTTACCTTGGGAAAAATTTTTCAAAAATTTTCCCGGGGAGGGAAATTTTTTTTTCTGGGAAGATTCTGCACCTCTGGTAAATATCCACACCCTAACTAATCGACGAAACGATTTTAGAAGAAGATGAAGGAAAATAATTAGAACAAACATCGATACTGGTCAATGACGACATTTGAGCATTTTCGACATTTTTCATTTCGACGTTTAACAAGCAAATCCTTACAGTTCTTCTGTGGAATTTGGATATTGATTAAATCCACATGTTGATTTATGCTTATTTATTGATCGACGTGGAAATGAATAAGGTTGATATATGCAACATGGACGATGATGTCTGCAATAATTTTGATATGCTAAAATATTTTTAGTGCATAAGCATTTTTTCTGCATCCATTCGACATAAAGTTGTTTATATGATTTTGAATATAACTTCATTGATGCTAGATAATAATTTTATACGAAAGAGATAAAAACTTAAATTTTACTTACTATTACATTTTGTTTTCCATATTTCATCACAATCAACAATTATTTTAAATGATCGACAAACAAGAGAGATATTACAAAGATCACGAACGGAAAGAAATCGAAATATATGTAAAATGATTTCATTAGGAATAGTATTAAATAAAGATTTCGATAGACCATCTTGTATCTCATCTTGTGACCATGACATATTTTGTAAGACTATTTCTTTTTCTTCTAATTCAGTAGGATTATTTTCATCTTGTGTCTTCCAAATCCAACGAAATAGCCTTTTCATTTTCAAGTCTACATAAAAAATTCTAACTAGTTGAAATGAGTAAAGAAAACGAAAACTAAGATAATTAATACCTTTCAAAATTTATTGTGAATGCTAGAAGCAATTTATTTGAATGAATAAAAATAGTTTTCACTTTATCAGAATAAAGTCAGATATAAAACATTCAGGTATATGACGTAAATCTATCTCTCTCTTACGTGTTATGTAGATTCTTTCTTTTAACTATGAGTCATATTATATGACTCATATATTTGATTTTTTTCTCTATTGTAAATTGTATATACAACGTGTGATACATTGAATTAGAATACGTCTTGCAAAGATAAAATAAGAGTAAAAGAGAAACAATTATTGTTATTTCTGCCATATCAAGATGTTTACCAAATATGAACATAAGCATCCATCTGTAGAAAGGTAAATCTAATGATTGAGAAGGTTTAGAGAGAATCCAGCGGTAATCGGACAAGGTTGAGAGAGTAAAATATAAAAATTTCAATCGAAAATAAATTAATAAATAATAAAAAGCTTTCTTTTAACTGATTTAAGAATAATTATTACATATTTAATCATTTAAATGATAGAATCATGAAAATTTCAATCAACTAAGATGTTGTGAGTATGAAATGAGTGTTAATGATCTTTTTTCATCTCGTTCTCTTTTGTGAAATAATTTGAATAGAATTAACAAACTTCTCCTACAAGATGGTTTGACATTATTTTTTAGTAAAACAAATAAAAACAAAGTATTAAGTTTATTTAATAGTCAAAGTCTTACTCGAACTTCTTCAACTTCGTCTTTTATAATACAATAATGTAGTATTATACTTCATACCATATATATCCCAATGCTTAATGTTGAACCTTTTCATCATCAAAATAACGAAATTCAATCAATAATCGATCACGTTACAAGTGAAATAATAAAATTATTTATTTTAACAACAGATAAATAAATTGTAGATCGAATATTTGAATTAATCGATTCTTGACTTAAATTAGTACTAGTGAATAATTTTTCAAAATATTTATGTACTTCATCACGTGTTTTATTATGTCCATTTTAGCTAATGAATATCAAAAATAAGAAGAATGTTTTTTATTCACATTTTTCTCTTATAATGACTAATAAAAATCATTAAAAAAAATCAATCAGTTTAAAAATCAAAACAAAAGTTTATAAAATCTAGAGTTTAGACAATGTTCCTTGTTTTACTGACAACCAAACTGGATGAACCTAAAACAACAAAATATTTAATTTGTCTATTGAAACTTCCTATTCTTTACTCTGTGTCGATTTGATGGATTGAGTCGAGCTCGTTCCATTAATGCTTCATATACTTCTCCATCGTAACGACCCAAACATGAATCTATTCAATATACATATTTATCTAATTCATTCAAAAATATTATACTTACTAAGTTCAAAATCATGCAAATCGAAAGCATCTACTAAAGCGACGAGATTTGGACGGAGCCGAGCATACATATCAGGTAAAACATGAGTTTCAAGTTCATATATTTGATTAGCTGATAATAATTTCAGCTATTATATAAAAGAAAAGATGTATAGAAAGAGATTCAAAAATATACTTACACGAATAAAATCAGTTGATTGATTACACAGTGTATGAATCGTAAATACATAAAAAAGTTGTTCGAGAGCTAATGCAATTGTTGAATGTTGAGGAGCTTTACCCACTTGTTCATAGAATGCACGTATAAAAGATGTTTCCATATGAGCCTAAAATTTATAAAATAGTATTGTTTGAGTAAATAGAAAGATTGTTGCTCTCATACTTTAGCTATTTGTACTAATTGAATTGAATTGTTTATAAATATATCATAGGGTGATGATGATGATGATGATTCTAACATCTTTGTATAAATCTCTTTAATCAATCTACAGTTGGTATAATAAAAGAGAATCAATTGATTGTATCAATATACTTACAATTGGGATCGACTTTCAAATAGACGACAATAATCATTTAGATTCATGCATGTAGTTGATGACCATAATGGCATTTGTAAATAAGCAACAGATGATCCAATATTTTTAGTTTTATTCTCTTCAACTTGTTGCATAACTTTTAAAAGATATCTGTTGTATCAGTCATATATGTTAGATTAGTTTTTACATATTATTACAATTACCTTGCAGTCTGTTGAAGTAATACAACATTATCACCTTCAGCACTACATCCTCCATCAACAGCATTTCGAATTCCTACTAATCCACTAGCTACTAAAAACCCATGACCACCACAAGATATGCGACATATTTGAGCTAATCGTTCAGTTACAGATGATGCATATCCTTTGAAACCAGCTGAAAGAGCATGAAGCTACTTTCAGAAAAAATATTAGAAATATTTAATAAATCTGTTATATTTTACTTCTGGCAGTTGTTCAAGATAATTTTTTTCATTCATTTTTAATTGATTAAAATAAGTATCAAGTTTTATGAAAGTAATAAGAAATGCATAGGTAGTAGATAAACATGGTATTAATTTTTCTTGTTGTAGTGGATAATCAAGAATTTTCGTTTCATTCCTATATTTTTAATATTAAAAAATCAAATAAGTTCATTGAAATAATAAAATAAAATATACCCATTTGGATTTTGTCCTTGAAATCGAATAGCTGAATAACGTATAGCAATAGTTATTGCTTGAGTTAGAGCAACCAAGAAGCTGTTAATGAGACGAATACGTTCATGAACCATTGTACCATATAAAAGACGAGCATCACCTCCACGATGAAAGTTACCTTGCTCATCGACCTATTCAAAAGAGAATGTATTATTTATTGAAGATGATTTTAGTATATTTTAAATTAACTGATACCTGAGCTAATCTCATGAGCATTTGTGTACGTGGAATGCGTACATTATTCAAACGAAGATATCCATTATCACCAAGAATATGTGCAAATCGAGTACTGATCTCACCAACTTCAACTCCTAAATTTAATAGTATATGTATGTATACATTTCATTTCTGAACAATTAAATATTTCAACCTAGTAATGGTTCATGTGTTTTAAAATCTCGAATTTGTACTAAAAACATTTGTAAACCACATGGATGATCACGATCAGGCGTATATAATTGAGCCATAAGAAGAACATGATTAACTGTTCTACCTAATGAACCTGGCCAAAATTTGGTTGATGTCAACTTCGGTGTATTTATTATAAATGAATCAGTTGTACGATCAAATACAGCTTCAGTTTCTAATCGTCTTATATCTGTTCCATGACCTAATTCTGTTTGAGCATAGGTTGCAATAATATGAAACGATTGAGCAAGTGGTAAAAACTTTTGTTTTTGTTCTTCACTTGCTATATTTTCAAGTGCATATAAACACATCGACGTATGAATATAAAATGCAAAATAGTAATTGGCAAAAATATCAAAAAACCAAGCACGATGCTTTTGATTTGTAATATTTAAACGATTTGCTTCTTGAATAGCTAAAAGACTTTTACGAATACATATGGAATAATGTTCATCAGCAGTGAGATATTCAAATGGTAAATGTGTGCTATGTATTGGATGAGCAATTGCTAGTCGAACTAGATATAACAAAGATACTTCATCGTATAAAAATATCAAGTAATGTTATACTGAACTAAGTTTTCTTCGTGTATTAATATCAAAGGGATTTTCAGATCCACTGAACATAAATTGTGTGAGTTCTTCAACATCAAATGTAGCTGATTGACGTTCAGTTAATAAATGAATATTTTTTGTATCATTTATTTGATAATGTGGTTTTGTATGACAGTGTTCAGCCATGATTCTATCATAAATACATTGATTGTAGATATTTGAATTAAAAAGAATGGAAATAAGTAGAAACAAATGAAAGTAATTTAAAAAAGGAGTGAGGATAAAACAAAACAAAAATGGTAGCCAGTAAAATGAAAGAAAGGTAAAATACAAATGAAACATGTGCGTTTGACGAAAGAAAAACAACCATTTGTCTTATCACCTTATACTTCGTGAATAAAATCCATTGAATGACTCATACCATGGCAGAAAGAAATAGTAGTCACTGATTATAAACTATTTATGTTCCATGCCTGGATTTATATGATAAGTTCTTAGTTTCAAACCTAAGTTTAATTCAAGGATGGTGACGTCAAATATGACTTGATAACATTTAAAAAAATGTTTTTAAAATATACGTGATTTTATATTAACATAAATAAGTTAAATAATGAATTATAGTCATGCATAGCCGTCATACACGAAAAAAGAGATAGATGAATGACAGTTATTTGATTAACATTTACGTTGTCGACTGACGGATATGTTAAGAGGAATACAGTCAATGAATATTGCACTATAAAAGTGATCGTCCTATACAATAAAACAAGCAGAAGAAAAAAAAATAAAAATGTGTCGTTGGTTCGCTTATATTGGAGAAGAGCCTACACTGCTCGAAGATGTTCTTATTAGACCAAAACATTCTATTGTCAAACAAATCGATGTACATTTTCTTCCAAATCTTCACATTACTTATAATCCTCATCATGGTCGAAAAATGCTTACCTCAGGTGTCGCATCGGATGAACATGGTCCAAATCATTTAACAAATATCGATGGATTTGGTATAGGTTATTATACGGGTGTTGCTGCTGAATTCAATGATGATCATGTGAATAAACCATGTGTCTACAGAAATACTCGTCCACCACTTAATGATCTCAATATGATGTCTTTGTGTGCTCATACATCAACTAAGTGTGTATTTGCTCATATTCGTGCAGGTTCAAGTTTTTCACCAACAGTCGAAACTAACAACCATCCATTCGTCTTTGGTCGATATATGTTTATGCATAATGGATTCGTAGGGAATTTTTTGAAAATCAGGGTGGCATTATTACAAAAGTTATCAACAGCTGCTTATACAAACATAT